ATGTAATTAACAGCTGCATTAGTAGGCTGCATTATGCATGACGCTGAATCTCTGGCAGACTCTGTTATCTGCGATGCGTATTTCGCTTACAAACATTTACATAATTACAAACGTTTAACTAATATTAATTGGACTGTCAATATTGTTAAGATGCTTAATGAAGAGTCAAGAATTATTTTATTATAGGCACAGCAACCGGGTGCAAATATTTATTTATTTTACATCTTTATGCACATCGGCGGACTTATGCCCTGGCATTCTCTACCAGCCAACCTTTATCAAATATTCCAGTATTTTATCAAATACTGCAATATTTAGTACATCACAGTTAAACAAAGATGCGCAAAAACATAACGTAACGTAACAACTAAAACATTAATAAGATGACGAAGCATCTCAAATGTTAGATTTTTGTAAAAATATTTGTATAACAGGAAATCGAACGAAAATTTAATTACATAACTATTTAAATAGAATAATAAGAAGTTGCATCTTAAAGCTCGATAAATATATAAAACATTAAGTAAAACAGTGGGACTGAATGTATTACTGAGATAAATTTTATGTAAGCACCGGATAACATTTTTATTGTTAACAAGCAGAAAGCCGTGGCCATAGCGAGCAATGATGATATCTCCTCATATGAATGATGACTTCGTGCTAAGCCTCTGGATGCAGTATCCACAGATAGACATGAAGCCGAGAAATACAGCACGAATATGGAGATTTTACCGCACCTTGTAAGTAACTTCTCTAAAATAAATCACAAATGAGAATTTCTATTTAATTCTTTCGATTGAAAATTCAAAACTGTTTAGTCTTTCCTCTTTTATTCAATACAAAATTAAACAGCAAAAGACTAAACATGGCAAAATATCAGAAACTTTTAGAGTATTAAAACAGTTTTTAAAATTGCGTGAAATTAAAATATCATCACATTTCCATTTCTCATCAAATTTCTTAGCTGCTACTATAAAACAGGTTAAAAACTGTCATACTTTTTTTTAAGGAATATAAATAAATCCCAACGAAATTTATAGCTTTCTTCTTTAATGGTCACTAAAACCAAAACGCCCGGTTTAATTTAAGTGACATTTATTGTTGACGGAGCTCTTTATCTTCTTATGTCTATGGCCGCACCGCGACCCATCCAAGAGAGATAAGGGGTCGACGTTTTAGCACAAAGCGTTTTCTGTTTTGGATCTTTTCTTGCAGGTTATTTGACTTGAAACGTGCCTCGGGAGTACCTGTTTACTAAGGCTACCTTTGTCGAGTCTCAAGCAATATTTTCTCGAGATTATCTTTTAAAATGCCTTTAACGAACGACCAATGTAACAGATGCGATGTCTCACTTAACAAATAACAATCACGCTTTTAAGTTGTGAAGTCCAAATACAACTTAAAAAGATAAAAGTGAATGTAAAACTGATAAGTCACATAAATTATTTGACATTTAAATTATACTAATCCTTGACTATTAATTAGATACAGAATAAGGGAACTACATGCAATAAACTAAGTATCCTCAAAATATCACTTCTATTATTCTTGTATGGTCAGCAGGATTATTGTTATATTATAGGACAAATTGCAATTTACAAGTAATGTAGAAATTTGTGGTAAACAACACCAAACCTTACTTTCCAAGATTTACAATGCCCAACTGAAACATTCTATTTACAGCGTTGACAACCATTGTTTTGTTTAAAAAGTATTTTTAAAGAATTTTTATTAACAATAACGTAATTGCGGTAGAATCTATTTGTCTAGCCAAGACCCTTGTACTACTTTTATTGGTGGTCATAACTTTGAAATGCTTTTTTTTGTGATCCAAGAAACTTACTATATTGGTAATTTCTCTCTACGGATGCTCTTTGTTTTTGCCAGTTCTTTATCAATGCTCCAAGACGACGGGTGGTGCTCTGAATAAGATGTAAAATGTTTTGGTCAAGCTTAATGTCATTGTTCCCAATAGTACGCAGGAGCCATTTTTGGCCAAAGTTTTAGCTGCCGATTTTTCTTTGTTATTGTCCTCGGGTTCTCATAGAAACATAACTATTATTTATGTTCATTTTGTACAATTTAACAATTAATATCGATTGCATTGCATGCAATTTCACCTAACAACATTAAATTGGTCTTATCAACGGAACAAATCGTAATTGATTCATTTCCGTTGTCTATTAGGTACATTACCTTTGTTATTAGAATTGTTCTATAATCGAGTCACCGATTGTCAATTGACTAGTAAATTATAATATGACTATTAGCAAGGGCGATGTCTCTGCAATATCGATTTACGAGTACCATAAAGTTTTGTGTTTTTTTTGGGTCATTCGTGTTAAAGTACTAGTTTAACGATTACTAATAATTGAAACTACACAAAAATTTTTAAGCTTATTTCTTAAAGCATCCATTTAAAGACAATCTGTAATAGATTAAACAACTCATATATTAGTAGATAAACGAAACCATTCTTTCTCGTAAAAGTCATGTTGAACTTCTATCGATATCAGACAGTGTCAACTAACTCGTGTTGTATAACGTTTTTTTTTTTTGGTTAGATTTCTCTGTAACCTAAGATGTTTTCGGAGTAAGTTGCTTCGAGATAACTTACCAGACATATTGTATTTGATGTCCTTTTGTAAATATCGAGCCATCACATAGGCACGTGAGATATTTACCTTCAATATTGACAGTGAGTATCAATAGTTGTGCCCTGGTACGACCTTGGCCGAACCGACCTCTTTCTACGAAAGTTTCGCCGTTCCTACTTTTGGTTATTTATCGAGCTTGAATCAGGTTGACCCGTATGTGTAAATTACCTTTTATATTACCTATATGCATTTTTGTTATTAGTCTACAACGCGAGATTTGTATTGAATTCGTTATTTAATGGAATTGTATCGTGTTTTCGATCGGGCTTTCTATCTACTCAGCGGTTACTTCGTGTTTTCATTCTGAATTTCAGTGTTTTTATAAATATGCATTTTTCATTTGTTATTTTGGGAAGATCCAAATTAATTTTAATTTTCGATATTGTGTCTAACTAATGTTAAAATTGTTAAACAAATTATTATAAATTATATTATTAAGGATAAAAAGCTGTTCAGCTTGTGGGTAACTTTACCTTAGATATGAGTCACTTACAGTTTAATAAAACTCAAGATATCTAAAGGTTTAAGCTGTCTCCCACGGTAGAGGCAATTTGACACGCACGTGGTATGGCATTCGATGGCCCACGATTAGACCGCGGTAACTCAAGGTAACTTGAATGAACGTGTTTTTGTGCCTAACTAGTACAGTGTTATAAAATATCCCATCTTTTTTTACATTTAAAATACTTTGTAATAAGTTCGTGTGGTGACGGATTAAGAATACGGAATGTCACCACCTTTTATCATCCCATGATGAACAAACTACGCAGAACAACATTACTGCAAAGAGAAGGAAAACTTGACACAAACCCTATACTAACCCGTCTGTCCAGCGTGGTATAGTAGGCCAAAATTCCTTTCTATGATGTGAAAATACTTTAGTAATTTGCTTCTTTAATAATAAGTAATACTAATAGTAGGTATTATAGCCTTGGCTATGCAAATGTATTCCAAAGGTTTCTTGTAGAAACATTTAATTATAATTCTTAAGATGCCTTTTATTTACAAAACCTAACTCACTAATTGGCACAATCGTTTCATCGGTATGGTACCTATTCCAACACATTTTGCTAAAATATACTAATATAACTTTAAGTTTTAATGCAATATATTTAAAACATGTTAAACACTTAAATTATACTAAATTTTTGAACATTCATCGTTCTATTATTAAATATTATAATAATACAACATCTGTTCTTAAATCACTTAAATAAATCCTTAGGAAATGGAAACAACTTAACATATCTTTTGTGTTTCATTCTTTTTCGATTTTAAACTGTCAATCATTATATTTTGCATTGACATGAAAATGTCCGCCCCTCGCATCACAACTGCATTATGCGCATTCTTCCTGAATTAATAATGCTTGTTCGCTAGTTAATAAAATTAAAATAATTTGATACTTATAAAAAATATTTAACTTCATGGTCTTAATGATTATGATTCTAAGTACTAAATTAACTACAATTCATATGTTAAGGATTATTAAAAGTAGAAAGTCAGTTTCAATGTGACATAATAGTGTATTAGAATACTACTCGACTACTATACTACTATCAATAACGACCACTTAAGTAAAATAAAAACAAAAATATGTAATAATAATATTAATATCACCATGTCTACTATGGCGTACCTATTCCGTGTCATATAGTTAATACAATTGTACAGACTCCGGCCTAGTTTGGGTACCTTTTGTAACTATCATGCAGGCTTAGAATAAGCATGCATATAATCTGAGCATGTAGCATAATTTAGTTTTTACTAGGTAGGTTTATAAGATAATATTTAATAAAAATGAATGAAATCCCTATTACATTTACTAAAAAAAAGAAAACCTCAAAGTTCAGTCAAACTTTTTGTAAATAATACTACTGTTTCTTAAGCTGTTACGACCTCCTTTGAGATGAAATACTAGGAGGTGCATTCAACGAATCACGCAGGTTAAGTCTTGGCTTGCATAACCAATATTTTCGTGTACTTAAAAAACACGCGTGCCATCTGTTGTAAACTGATGCAGTGCCGGGTCCCACCCGTCGTCATTGAGGCCCTCCACGTCCCGCACCTCCCCCCTCTACCAATACCCATGCGGCTTTCGTTCGTTCAAACTTCGTAGGTCAGTTACCGCCCGACCGCAAGGGAGCATGGCTGCGTCAAAAGTTTTACCGCGATCTCGCTCTCTCTGTTTACATACGCTATAAAACGAAGACGTGTACACAATAACATTGACTTTATAAACATTGACTGTTTAGTGAATAAGAGTTATAATAAGTTTTTAGTGATTTAATAGTGACAAATGAACTATAATAAAGTGTCAAAATGATCAAAAACTTTTACGAAATGATTTCGTTAAAAGTTTGGATGTGTTTGGTTGTCGTGTCCAGTGCGCGCGCACGGTCCGCGCCGCCCGCCCCCACCGGCTGTCAGTGGGACTATTCGGACGCAAAGTTGAGTGACTCAAACTTTCTCACGTGTAACATCAAAACGATTGGCTCTGTAGACTTCTTGTTTAAAAACATTACCACAGCGCAGGCGTACAACATCAACAAGTTAAAACTGACGTGCACGGATTTGCTGTTCTTCGAGAGTTCTTTACACATGAACACTGGTAGTTTTTTGGGCCAACTAAGGAAACTTGAAGACTTGCGCATTGATTACTGCAAAATCCGTTACGTTCCTGCGACTGTTCTATCTCCGCTACGTGATTTAACAAGTTTAAGTCTACGCTCTTATAACACGGATTGGCCTGCAATGACTATGGAATTTCACGCTGAAAGTTTTCGTGGACTGATGGAGCTTCGGACGTTAGATTTAGGAGATAATAATATTTACATGCTGCCTTCAGAAGTGTTTTGTCCGCTTTTTAGTTTAGAGGTATTGAATCTAACAAATAACAGAATACAAGACATTTCAGAAATCGGATTCTCGGACTGGGGTAAAGGTCCTATTGCCCCAGGTAAATCATGTAACACAGGACTTAAAATGCTTGATTTGTCGCACAACAATATTTTACGTCTTCCGGATAACGGCCTTTCTAGCTTAAGATCATTAGAAGTATTGAATATTCAGAACAACCTTATTAATGAAATAGGTGACAGAGCCTTAGTCGGATTGAATTCATTAAAAATTCTGAATTTATCTGGCAATAAGTTAGTCGCTGTCCCTCCGGAACTATTTCAATCATCACGAGTTATTAAAGAAATCTCATTAGCGAATAATTCTCTGTCTGTGTTGGCCCCGGGATTACTCGAAGGACTTGATCAACTTGAAAAATTGGATTTAACAAGGAATCGTCTTACAAACGACTGGGTTAACAGAGATACGTTTGCTGGTCTCATTCGCCTAGTTATTTTGAATTTATCATACAATTCACTTGCGCGCTTAGATCCTAAGTCTTTTCACGACTTAAATAATCTACAAGTGCTGAATCTAGATAACAATATAATCGAAACTATCAGTAACGGGGCATTTGCTGAGCTTAAGAACTTACATCAATTGTCTATATCAGAAAATAGAATTAAGGCGCTAAATGAACATATCTTTTCAAACTTATTTGTACTTAGTCAGCTGTATTTGGACAATAATCTAATTTCTACAATCCATGATCGTTGTTTTGAAAATATTACTTATTTACAAGACTTAGGTTTGAATGGAAATAACTTAAAGATTATACCCGACGGCATAAAGAAACTTAGATTTTTGAAATCACTTGATATAGGCAAAAATAATATATCAAAAATATCAAATTCTTCTTTTGAAGGGCTAGAAGAGCTATACGGTTTACGGCTTGTTGATAATCAGATAACAAAAATACCTAAGGATACATTTAGCACTCTGCCCTCTTTACAAGTGTTAAATTTGGCTTCAAACAAAATTGAAACCATTGAACAAGATGCATTTTTATCTAATCCGACGTTAAAAGCTATCCGTTTAGACGGAAACAAACTAACCGACATCCAAGGCGTCTTTAGTAAACTTAATACCCTTGGATGGCTCAACATTTCGGACAACAAGCTTATTTACTTTGACTTTAGCTACATGCCAGAAAGTCTTGAATGGTTAGATATTCATAAAAACAATTTAAGTAAACTTGAAAATGAACACAGCGCTCAGCAAAATATTCGTATGCTCGACGTCAGTTCCAATACATTGGAAATCATCGATGAAAGGTCGATACCTGATTCCATTGAAGTCCTTTTCTTAAATAACAATAAAATTCACACGATTCAGCCAGGTACATTCTTACAAAAAAGAAATTTAGAAAAAGTTATCCTGACGGATAATAAATTACGCACTGTTGAGTTATCTGCGTTTACACTGCCCCATATACCAAAGCATAGAATGTTACCAAAATTTTTTATTGCAAATAATCCATTTGTTTGCAATTGTCACATGATTTGGTTGCAAAAGATAAATTTATGGAACCATATGAGGCAATATCCTAGATTTATGGACTTAGATACAGTAAAATGTGAAGTTGTGAATAACAAGTATGGTGGGAGAGCTAATTTAATGGATGTTCCTGAAACACAGTTTCTTTGTTCTTATGAAACCCACTGCTCATCTAGTTGCTTCTGTTGCGATTTTGAAGCTTGTGATTGTAAGATGACATGCCCTGAAGGATGCTCTTGTTACCACGACAGTAATTGGAATTCAAATGTAATTGATTGTTCTAACGTCGGTTACGCAGAAGTACCTGAAAAGATTCCGATGGATGCTACAGAGCTTTATCTCGATGGCAATGATTTCCGCGCCTTAGGCAGTCATCTTTTTATCGGTAAAAAGAAGTTACACAAGCTTTACCTAAATAACAGTAACATTGCAACTCTCGATAATGACACTTTAAATGGGTTACACTCCTTAAATGTTCTTCACCTTGAAAACAACCACCTAACTGAACTCTCTGGTGGTGAGTTCGCACAAACAAAGCACTTAAGAGAGTTATATATGAATGATAATCTTTTAACAAGTGTTGCAAACAAGACTTTTGAAAATCTGTCATCTTTGAGAGTTGCTCACTTCCAAGGAAACAAGATAATTGATCTTGACAAAAAGGTAGCACATATCTTAAATTTGGAAACCATCAACGTTCAAGGCAACTTATTTACATGCGAGTGTGAAAATGTTGTTTCTCTTCAAAATTGGTTTAAAAAGTACTATGAGGATCCTATCGAAATGTATTGTGCAAGTGAAAATGGACTTTTATCGAACTTAACCGTGTTTGATGCTATTGTCAAGTGCCGTGAATTCAGTGTAACAGACAATACTATTCCTACTGAAAACCAACCGTACCAGTATGATGAAGTCAGCCCAATTAAACTAAACTTTGTGCCACTTTTAGCCGTAGTTTTAATAAGTGTTATTCTTATCCTCTTATTTGGTGCCTTAGCTTTTTCATTTAGACAAAATGTACGTTTATGGGCTCATTCTAGATATGGAGTAAGGTTGTTCAAAAGTGCTTCAATTCAAGAGAGTGAGTTGGATAGGGATAGATTATATGATGGATATGCTGTGTACAGTTTGTTGGACGATGATTTTGTATCGAAAGTTGTAGCGCCAGAAATGGAACAATCTGGGTACACGATGTGTTTTCACTATAGGGATTTGCAGCATGTTCCCGAAAATTACTTATCCGAACAAATCACAAATGCTGCTGAATCATCTAAAAGAATGTTAGTCTTTGTATCATTTAATTTTCTACAAAATGAGTGGTCCAAAGTTACGTTTAAAGCAGCTATGAAACATGTGATAACTTCTATTCATCCCTCTATAAGGCGGCATAGAGTAGTTTTTATTTTAACAACAGATATTAGCGCATTAAATTTAGATCTTGATTTTCAAAACTATTTGAAAACCTGCAATGTCTTATTATGGGGTGAAAAAAAGTTTTGGGAAAAAATTCGATTTGTAATGCCAGACATTTCTAATTTACATTGGAACAAAGATACAATGAGTTACAATCATGGCGTTTGCCCAAATGGCAGACGACATCCATCTAGATATACGGCTTCGCCGACTGCGCCTGAACACTGGTATAAATACGATGCGATACCGCCACAGACGTCTTCTACTGCTAATGTAGGTGTAATTATTGAAGATGACTCGTCAATGTTGACAAACACAACATTGACCAGTCAGATTCAAGATGGAGAAAATTTACATCATAGTTATATATCCATTGATGTACAAAATTATGAACAGCCGTATGGTGGCAGGCCTAGACCTCCTCATACATTGCGTAAACATCCCGGCCACCAGTCTCCTTCAATGTTGGATGACCAAGGTTACTTGCAACCCCGATCGTCTGTGCACGATTGCTTGCCACAAACTCATTCAGCTGCGAACAGATGATAAGATTGTTGTACTTTCGCTTATCTGTAAAGTTTCATGTTAATGGAACTTTACATTCCAAGTGCATGTGTAGGCTAGACTGCTCTTTAAGTTGGCCATGCCTTACTTAAACGTGATAATTTAAAAATGTTTGTTAGATAATATAGTCAAATAACTTCTTGTTTGGACAATGTCATGGGTAAAGACTGTATTGTTAAATATATAGAAATCCTAATCTAGTTGAATGGAGCCTTACTGTATTTCACTGTATAAAGCTATACTGTTGTTCACTAAGACTGATACTCATGTAAAAATGATAATGCCAGTATCAGGAGTGTTTTTTTGTAAGAGTATTTTGATATAGTATATCTCATTGTTACCAAATATTTTGTAGATAGACATTACTAATCATAATATGAAAATTATTGTATAGTATTACTAGTCATTAGGTAAACTGGTAAATATTCATTTGTATATTAGTGATAGCAAAACTTAATCATAAATCAAGTTATTTGTGAAACTTGTAACTAAATTTAAACTCCTAAATATATGAATGAGTGTTTATACTTGTATGTAATGTATTATAATATTCGACTGTTACATTATATTAAATTAAAAATAAACAAATATCATAAAATATGTCTTAGTTTTTGTTATACAAACTCTCAAGCGTAGCTTCAATCTATAATTAACATTTACAAAAGTTTGGTCAAAGACAGTAATTGAGTATCATTAAGCCATTAATTTTAAAAGTTACCCATTGATTCAGATTTGTGGTTTGCTTAGAAAATACATTTTAACTTTTTTGTGCACACAATGACATAAAAACTGAGAATCTTTTAAAAACCTATTGTCGGCATAACTGTTAAGTTTGTTGTTTTGAATTCGAAAATCGAAAAATGAAGCGAAAAAAAGATGAGAAATTATTTCGGCTTGCCGACAATCATCTTGGTCGTAATGATGGTCCCTTTTCAGGTAGACAAACACACCCAAATCATATATCAACTGTCACGGATAGCATGGTAGCTATAAAAGAGATTTACAATAAATTTTGTATTCGTCTCTAGTTAGGTAACCTTCTGTCGGACACGGTCCGAGGAACTTAGATTTTTTTGTAATAGTTTCCTATAGTGTTCGATAACAACATATGGTGTGACATACTTTCAGTTTCGCCCCTAACTTGTTTTATTTTCTTAAGGGGCACGTAGCTGACAATGTTGGTTGTATATATTGTAGGTGTTTTAGACTATACTCTACTTATCATTTCATTTTAAAGCCATTTAGAAAAGAAGCAAAAAATAATATCTCAATTAACTCAAGTCACTAGTATTTTTTCTAAAAAAATAAAATAATAGGTGTAGAATTATATTAAATTAGAGTTTTAAATTAAATTTTGAAGTCTCAAGAGAATAATCACTATATTTTACTTTGTTTAGCTTTATATTGCCGAAACAAGATTCGATTCTCTTCTAGATTCACTTCGTTTTAAATTTTATAGAATGAGTTTATAAATATTTAGAGTTTTTATAGGAACTGAGTAGTCAAAGACCATGGAAACCAATATTAATTATAATCACAAGATAATGATTATAATTAGGTCATTTATAAAGGTAAATCTGAGCAATTTGGTTTTACTAATCTCAGGAATTTCTAAGCGGATTTAAAAAAAAATTGGTCATTTGATATTACTGTGAAATAAAAATATGTTTTTTAATTAGAAGACGAGCAGTGAGTTGATGACTACGGCAGAAAATGCGGAGAAAGGTAAGTTATAAATTAAGTACATGTTTATGTATAAAGTGCATTGAGAAGAAATCGAAATTTATTTACACTTATCCTATCTTATCTCAAAGGAAATTAAAGCACGAACCAGATAGAATTTAATGCATATAAGTAGATATTTAACATAATGTAAAAAATAAAGTTGTGTTATCTACTTCCGGAACAGCGTTCTTTTTTTAAATCAAAGGCATCTTTTGTCCTTTTGTGTATCCCTGGCAATGTGCATGCTACTTTCGATGACCATTCATTTGGTAGTTAAAGCGTGGAAGAACAGCAAACTTACTTTATTATGTATGGAATTTATACTGGATGTAATTTAGGAAATTAAGATAAAATGTGAATAAACACATATTGACCGGTCCTAAGTAAGGTACAAATCCAAACTATTTTATAAAGTAGTAAGTAAGCTCTTCTCTGAAATCCTGTAAAGTTATTGATTATTCAATATCACTCTATAATCTCTAGGAAAGAAGAAGTGATCATAAGGCTAATACTAGTCCACGTTTGATCGACAATTTGAATACCAACGTCTATTTCATTAATTAAATTAGAAAATATATCAACTAAAGCTTTCACAATTCTTCCAAAATATTCTAAATTTGATATAATAACTACTTAACTTTAACTTAAATAATCAATTGGCACAATAGTTAAAAATATTTTATTTTACAGTTTCTTGTTGGCAATAAAACAAAAACAACATTAATTACGGAAACTGTTATCTAAATTACACACTGATTTAATGGACTGTTTGTGATACAGCAAATAAACGTGTCAGTAGCAGAATCTATCCTATTATTGTCTCCAATACATTACCAAAAGTATTCCTTATCCAAGATACCTGCTATCAATATCCGGGAATATCGGTCCTATCTCTGGATTTCACGGTTAAACGCACCATTGATTCCCGCTATCATAACCGATGCGTCCCCAAGAGCAGATAAGAAATGGACCAGATATCAAACTTCTCCTACTATCGTAGATGTTTGTATTTAATTTATTGTACTTTTGAATTTTAATAAAACAGTAGAAGTAAAAATAGTAAAGCTGTAATTTGGACTGTGAATATAAAATCGGGGTATAATATTGGTCAAATGTCATTTAAAAAATATTGTATTTATCCAATAAAGTATCCAACGAAGAGTGACTCTAATCGTCGATAGCCAATACATTTCCGACCGGCTCGATCCAGTGGCGCTACGTAGACATGTAGCTCCACTCTGCATTCTCTATCGTATATATCATGGAGAGTGCTCCGAGGAATTGTTTGGATGAATACCGGCCGCAACTTTTCCCACACGGCAAACTATTCATCCTCACCACTTGGATGATTGGCACTAGACCACACTATGCGCAGTTCAAGACAGTTTTTGCCTCGCACAACTAGTATGTGGAACAAGTTATTTTCTGCATTATTGCCGGACCGATACGATACCGATAACTTCAAACCTTCAAGAAAAGAGCGTACTCCTCCTCAAAAGCCGGCAACGCGCTGGTGACGCCTGAGTTGCAGGCGTTCATTGGCGGTGGTAATCGCTTTCCATCAGGTGACCCGTCTCGTCGTTTTGCACCCTCATTCATATTTTTTTATTAAAAAGCAGTATATTTATTTATATACAGCAGGCTCAGTAATATTTAAAAGAATTTAGAAGTGCAAAGAACTTGGCTCACAATAAAGCAATGACTAATCTCAGTTCTCAGGGTCAAATCAAATTGGATAGATTCGTATTTTCAATGTGACATTGATCGACGTTTGATATCCGAACACGGTATGTAAAGATTTTTCTGTTTTGTATCTTACATTAACTAAATTTGTTGTTCGGTTGGTCAACTCACGCCACCCGCTGGTTAGACATGACGTTTCACACTTGAAGTTGGTTCGACTCGGCACAAAGGTCACGTCTTCTCACTCAAATCTCGACCGGGAGCGTTTCGGTCGGAATTGGATCGTGACAACCGAGAGATACTTATCGTGATTTTCTGGCCAATTCCGATGCATCGCTCCGTTGTTAGGATGGGTAATGGGAGCATGGGAACACGGATTGAGTTTATAGTAACAAAATTATTGTGAGTCAAATAAGGCGATGTGTTTGTAGAGCGATGATTGGGGTTGCGTAGGGTAGTTTGTTTGTCTATTAAATTTGAACCTGTCTAACTATTAGATAAGGAAGAGTCAATCAGTATTAAGTTATTATATTATTCACTAATCTTGTTACGAGTACAAAAATTAGAAGTTAATGGTTTTATTTAAATTGCTGTAGCTCGCGTCTTTACTCGCATGATTATTTCGTGTTTCTAACTTTGAAAATGACGCGCCACCATACCGTTCATCATCTATTTTACCCGGTTAGGGGTGTAATTTCTATTTTTTTTTTCTTAGTCGGTGCTTGCAACATTAAAAGCATCGGTTGCCAAAATTTCAAGTTACTAGGTTCAGTGGTTTAGGCTCTGCGTTGATGAATCAGAGCAAGTAATTTAATACGTATAGATGACAAGAATCATATAAAGCGTCCCACTTGATAGTTAATATTTTACTCATCATATCAGCTATGCACATATACGTGTGTATCCGTCCATATATTTTTGGACTTTGGCTTTATTCTATCTAATAGTGACATTTATGGTTCTAACATATTACTCAATAGTTAAGTCATTATAGTAAACACCTACTTTCATAATATTTATCCAGATATTTTGCAGTTCAAAAATGTATTAATTGGACTCATAACAAGAGTATTGTACATTCAAACCGAAATGCCAACACTATGTTAATAAAAACTCGCTGCTCATACGGAATTATTTTATTTTTATGTAGATAATATATGTTGAACAAAGAGACGCTTTTGCTTATAATGCGAAAAGAAACAAGCAGGCCTTTGATTTCTAAAATCGTTAAACATTAAGACTTCTTTCTTGGGACCGATAAGAAAATGTCTATAATTATAAATGTGTACACTAATGCCGATTAGGCATATAAAGGAAGACAGTAATATATATTTAATTAAGTAATTATCGGAGACAACTAAAGTAAACACAAAGTAGTGGATACAAAGTTATGTTCGAAATAGTAATACAGTATTTAATTTATAACTACACATGATATAAATATGCATAGAATATTTATTAATAAAGGTCTGAACATAGTAAAATATAATTAATTTGAATTAATATTCCGAAACTTATTTTAATTTATCGTATTAATTGGACAATTAAGCAAATTTCATAGTCCACTAAATTCG